GGGGAGAAATAGTAAACGTAATACACCTCTGATTCTGTTGCGCTTTAAGAAGACATAGAGATACCAGGTAAAAACTAGAACGGAACAGTTTTACGCTCACAAAAAGCCTTCATACCAAAACATGATTTCGAATAACTATACAATACTCATATATATTCAGCCTCATAAATAAGGGAAGGGACAAGTTATAGTACATTTTGATGCGCTACAATAAAGTTGCGAATTTAAACATCGAGCGGCCTAAGATTATTCTGAGGCCGGCACAAGGGAAACGATAGCACGCATATAAAGTCGTGTAGTGACGCCTTTCTGAAGCGTCTGCGAATTTTCTGTCCAGCTAATATTTTTATTTCACAAGCATTTTAAAACTGAATGTGTTTTCATTTAAATCGATCATTGCTTTAAATTTAATGCGTTTGGATATCTTTATTTACAGAATGTCCGAGCCGGTTCAACTTCAATTAATTACTCTCTACTTTTTTTAAAAATTTACTTGTTACAATTCCCTTTGGATGGAAAGTGTTCGTGAGTTAATGAGTATTCACTTAGGGCAGGCAGGAGTGCAAATTGGTAATGCATTCTGGGAGCTTATCTGCCTGGAGCATGGAGTGGGTCCGGACGGATGCTTGGAAAAGGCCCCTGACAATGACGGAAGCATAATAAGCTCGGTTTTTGAGAAGGGCAACAATGGAGTGTATCCTCGAACTGTAATGGCTGATCTGGAGCCATCAGTCATTGGTAAGTCCCAATAGTTCTGTGATTTTTCGCTTGTCTACCATCCATTGAATATTCGAGTGAATCAATAAAAAGATATCATCATCGTCATGAGTTCGACCTCCTACAAATATAATCAGGTTTACTGGTAAATATCACTCCTATCAATACTTGAACCAAACAAAGATGAGTATTGATAAGGGCCTGCTTTGTTCTAGGACAATAGGGTCATGTATTGAAATTTCATTATTGTTATATGCTAAACCTCTTCATTTTTTTAAGCTTTATGGTATGTAGTGAGTTATTTAAATATAAGTTAAATCTTATGAGATCTACTCAGCCTATTTCGTTTAAGGTGATGAAGGACTGGTAGTTAAATTTTTCCATATGTATCTAAATGAGCCGTATGTTTCCACTGAATTTCACATAGCCTTGCTTCCCAAAATACTATCTCATCCAGACTCTACTGAAGTTTCGGCCTCGTCTGGTTTATAATTAGCACCCCCAGGGGGACTCCAAACAGGGTAGTGCAACGTATAGTCTCGACGCGCTAACCACTACGCCATACTGCCACGAGTACTCTTGGGTCACAGGGCAGACGTAAATTTAAAGGAAGACAAAGCCTTTCCAATATCAGTTTTTGAGGTGGGATTGTCTGTGCTATAGTAATCGACTACATTACTTGTCTTATTTTGCAAGTAAGTTTAACCATCAGCCCTTAATCACCCTAAATTAAATAGGCTCAGCACATATTTATGATCTACTTTTATTCTCAGAAACACACTTGAAAACGAAAATAAGTTGAATTTTCCAATAATGCAATCTGTAGGCCCCACAATTTAACTATCAGTCCTTAAATCATCTTAGATGAGCTAGGGTTACTCGAGTTCCTATACAGGGACCATTGAAAGTCTCTAACCTTACTCTGAAACTAAATGCTATAGACCATCGTACTGGAGGATACTATTTTATCTCATCTATACTTAAACTATAAATGTGATTTGGAGGAGATTTGGACTGCATGTAAAGTCGCATTTGCCATATAGTCCTAGGGCATACGCTGCTATGGAATAGAATGGTAACGTGAAGCTTATTCACGCACAACTTAGTTTCGAGTTATGTCTGGGTCGCTGATGAACCTATGAGGCAAGGTTGGAGCTGTAGTCCCCCTGGATGAGAATTTCTTTTTGGAGACAAAGCTAAGTGAAATTAAATGGCATCGTCAGGGCTTTATAGTTGCTGGAGAATTCAGCTATCGGTCCCTAAATCACGCTAAGTGGCTTAGGATGATTCAAATTTTAAATATACTCTTCTTTGTAGTGCTAAAACTATTTACCTTATCATTGACAGCAGAGATTGATGTGAAGCTTACAGTTAAAGCGAACTATAGGATGCATACTCCATTACAAGGAGTGATCAGTTTCTTAAAAACTGCATTCATGTTTTGACTCTGATAATGATAACTGGTGATAAAAATTTAAGTGCGATAATTTCACGTTATAAAATACAACAAACTTTTATGCTGGCTAACATTCCATGCTCATGTACTAGAGATGTTTTATATAGTTATATACGAGGGTAATCATGAAGCTCGTTGTAATCATGCTACATATTAGGGTCAGTTTACTTTTCGCATTGGCATTCCATTTCTGAATAAAAACCTTCCAGCTTCTCAAGGCAGTCATCCATATAAGTCGACACCCAATAACCGTTGTAAAGACTCATTGGTATTCTTTCATTATTCTTAAGAGTTAAGATTAACAGGGAGACAAATTTAAGAAAGTTTGAATTACATGAATGCTTGAATTCTTGATCAGACACCAGAAACCTAGACTTTTGGGCGGACGCATTAATGTGTTCAAGGGACGCTATGGCAAAATTTCCTCTGCACATACTTTTTGATGGTTTATCCTAATTTTCCAATCAAATTTGCATATATATATATAGTATTTACCAGTTACAATTATACTGCGTTGAAGATGTTTTACTTCTTGTATGTATAAGAAAATGAAACTTGAAATG